CTGAGAATTGAAGGTTACTGTGCTGGGCTTCAAGCCAGTACTGTGGAAAACCTGCCAGCAGTCGGGGCTCCACCAAAAATGTTCCTGAACATGCCAGCCATCACTGCCTTCAGCAACGCAAGGGCATCTTGCCACCATGCGCAAGACTGAATGCCGATCGCCGTGTTCAGGCCTTGATTTCAACAAAACATTGCCATGCCTCTTGGAAGTCTGTACGCCATATTTCCCTCGCTTGCCCACGGAAAAGCCCCAATCTCACGTTGCTTGTGCTGGCAGCATCAAGTTTGTCCAAGCCGTGGTATTTAAAAAGTTGAACCCGGGAGAAAGATCTGCGACAGCAACAGTCTTTGAGGTGTAGTGCGGCTCACTAAGCATAAGCCAAGCAACTTCGAGTGCTCAACGCTATCATGCTAAGGCCCATGGACTTGAGCAATCCCAGCACCTGATTGGATGCTGCAAGCAGAACCTGCAGGCGACCTGCCTTGTTGAGCCCTGACTATGCCACCCGGTTGAAGTGGAAGGCCCTAGCCTCTGTCCAGCGCATTGCTGTAGAGCATGAGCTGGCTGCCGAATTATAAGCAATCTGATGGCACCGGATCTCCGAGTCTGCCATCCCGTGCAAGATTCGCAGCCTCAAATTTGGACAAGACATGGTATCAAGGCAGAGCCCAAACATGCAAAGGCTGCTGCAGCTGCGCTAGATGTTGATCCCTCTCAGCACAATATTTCTTGCAAGCTGACATCCAATTCTCAGAACGTGTCAAGGAACGTGCTTCTCCACAGCCCTCTGTTTGTGCAGGCATCCGTCGCAGTACCCACCGTGCTGGCATCTGGTTGCATGGCCATTGCCCACCTGTCAGCTGCCGAAGTTTAGTTTTTCGGGGCCGTTAAGGCTCATCATGTGTAGCATGATTGCGGCTAGTTGAGTGCAAGGCTGTGCCCTGAGCAAATGGAGCGCTGTTGGCCAGAAGGAGTTCTTTGCACATGCAGCTGCCGCTGCATTCTGAGAAATCCTTAATAAGCACGAAGCATGCGCGTCAACAGTCGTGTGCTTTGCTGTGTACTTGCCTTATTGAGGCCATCAAATTGCTTAGCTACCTGAACATGTGTGAAGCAAACGCAGGGGACGCTGGCTGGGGCAATGAGCAGATAGAACCGCATTTTTTGCTCACAGGATCTTAAGGTCACCGCTGTTGAAGGAAAGTTTCTACTATTAGCATCTGTTGAGAGGAATGTTTGATTCATTGAGGCCGGCTCGCTCTGCCTATGTCAAGGCCCACACGTGCTTCTTATTCTTGACTCTGTGAGCTTTTTTGGAAAATGTTGCCGAAGGTACTGCATGAAAATATCACTGAAGGTACTGAATGATACAAGCCATATACAGTAGTTGCTGGGAGTTCTGCTGCAGCTCATTACTTTCTGTTCGCATGCCGTCTTGTTCCCAAACGGACGCATAATTTCTCAAGCAGGCCAGGTTTCACATTGGCCTGCAGACTCCTTTGAACTGCGCTAAGTAGGAGAGATTGCTGCCATTGACCTGCCATGCACCATTTCCAATCTAGTCTGTGGCGAGGCAGACTATCGGATCTCAGAGAGCTGTTCAAAATTTCCTGGCCTTGCCGCAGTCCAACAGCAACGGAAGTCAGAATGATGGTGTTGCTGCGTAGGCCGCAGGTTGGCAAGGCATCATTCAGAGCCACTGCATGATGCCAAGCGCGCTTCATGCCCGCAGCGACAGCACCGTAACCTCAGCAGAGCCATCAGCAGCTGCTAGCTGCTAGCTAGCATAACCGGCCTACCCCGTTACTTGCAGTAGGCCATCTAAAGCAAGGAGCTGGCAGTGGTTGCCTTCAACATTACGTTTTGCATCTCCCTGAGCATGGCCCATGCTTCCGACCAACTCGCCAATGAAGCACAAGCAGAGATGACAACATTGCGATGTACCACGTTCACCTGTAGTACGCAGCTGTGGCTGCGCGCAGACAGAATGCGTGACAGTGTGATGAAACGCGCACACACTCCCACGTACAAGACGCAACTGCCCTCCCTTTGGGCTATGCGAAGGGTCTGGAGACCCTTCCCGGGCCTCTCTGCCCAGCCCGTGTTGAGCTGTACGGACTAATCCACCCCTCTGTGCACTTCAAGGTTGGGCAAAAGGCTTATATAGGAGCGGACAGTAACATAGTTTGGTAATTACAGGTTTCCCAACCATTGAGTGTCGTAGCTACCTTGTGTTGCCAAAATTGCTGCACCGCCCTCACTTTAAACCAAGGTGAATAACATCTATCTACTTTCAAGTGATTGTGGCTGGTGCTTTTGTGAAACTGATTGCTGTGTTTACCAAGGGGTCCCTCTATAATGGCTTGACTTACTTGAGCAATTCTGGTCTGCGGTGAGACTGTTGGACTTTTGTTTGGGATAGAACCCTGGCTGCGTTTTAAACCCTCCCTCTCTTCTTCCTCTCTCTGTACCGTGACAAATGCACGGATACGTTTCTGTTTGACTACCCACTGGAAGGCCTCCAGCACATCCTGCAACATACCATGAAGGCAGCTGATGGCAGCATGTGCTCCTGCGAAGCGACTCTTGACGACAAGCCAAGCCATGACCATGCCTACTGGCCTACTGGACTGAGTACCTCGAACTTCAACTGCACACTGGATGGGAGGTTGCCTGCCTTGTTTCTCAACAAGTGCTCGTAGAAGAAGTGTGCCTTCACGACCAGTCACTCTGCCATGTGTCTCCGGTTGTGTAGTGGCCGCTGCTTCAGTTCGCATCCCAGGAAGTGTCAATGAATCATGGCGTGCAATATCATGCACGTCCTTCTTGCCGCTGCACACTTTCAGCCATCTGGATGCGTCTACAAAGTAAATCCAAGGATCCGGAGGCTACGAGTCCTATCGCAGCAACTTCTTCTCCAGAAATGTCTTCAGCACGTGGGCAGTGAGCCCGTGTATTTTGCCGAAGAAATACCAAAACATGTCCTCATGGACGTGAACTGATCGAGATACATCTCAGGTTTCTGGCAGCTTGAGGTGCAACGCCACGCGCCAAGAAGTTGATGTCAAACGGTGCTCAGATTGACCTACTGCCCGGCCCCGAAAGCCCTGCCGCGCTCAGCACCTGACATGTTCCAATGTTTTCACCTCATGTTGTTTCATTTGTCTTCTTTACGAGTCGCGGCATAAGGTCTTGGGAGCTGTGAATGATTAAGTCCTTGGCAAATATTGTCGTGCAAAGTGCTTCCGGCTGTTGTACAGGTGCAATTGTCGATCCAATAGCTGGGTCGCACACAGCACTGATTTTCAACGCCACTGCTACGGCAAGACACAGCTAAGATGGCAGTCTGGGCTCATGTAGGCTAGATCAAACTTGGTCTAGCAGATGTCTTGTCAGCTAGGGGATTTGGAGCTACCCTGTCTGTTGCCCGAAACTTCTGAGACGTTCCGTTCAAAGGCGATGTGGTAGCAGCTGGAAGAAGGTTAGTGACGCTAGTAGCAATGTGTCTCATTTAAATGCAAGCCCCCCTTGGCAGCCACCTCCCAGCCTTTTCTCCAGAACAGCATGTTCGGCCATTCAAGTGTCAGAGGCAGCATCTCCTAGGTCAGTCTTACAGATCATTGGGCCATGGCACTTTGGCTCTTGGAGCTAAAGCCCGTTCATCAACTGAAAAATCTCCGTCGTCAAACACCAGGTCACAACACGAGGTCCGTCCCGACTTGCTATGACCTCTTTGCTTCTTGCCATAAGCACTTTCTCAACTGGTGCTGTCTGCTGGTCAGAAAGCATCAATAAATTATGATAATGGTTCTGGCAACCGCAGTGGCCGAAACAAACAACACCATTCACTTCAATGCAAAGACTGCCGCCCTGCTCTACGAGATTGGAACCCTTCTAAACCTCGAATCTATGCAGTGGTTGGGTCTACTGAGTCTACTTGCCCGTCATCCTCAAGGACAGCCCTCGCGTGTGCTGTGAAGCACCAAGAAATGCCGCACAGCTGCTGAGAATAGCTACGTCTGTGGGTCAATGCTGATGGCCCATAGCAGGCATATTTCTTGGGCTCGATCTGATCTTCGCTTGACTTGAAGGGTGAGACTGGCTCACGTAATCCCGAGTCTTTTCTGGTCAGCTCACCTACGGGGTTCCTCAAGCTGAATGTTCTTTTCGAACGCTGCGGCTCCAGTGACCGGCAATTCTGGCGGCCAGCCAGCCAGCGTTCGGTTTTTATGCTGCTTCTTCGCGCGTCTAGCGGGCTGGAATTTGCCCTGTTCAGTATGATGCGCAGGCACGGCTGCGGCTACAGCTACAGAGCCCTCAGACTCGGGGTCAAGCCAGCACCGCGATTGAATTGGCAGTGAGTACTCCACTCTTTCCACGTGGTGCTTTCAAATGATCACGTCCATTCTACTGTAAGTCTTTGCATCTCTGTATTGATGCCAATGTGCCTGTCTGCGCATAAGACAAGCATACAGCTCGTGAAGTGCTCTGCCCATGCTGCATGACAGCAAGCTTTTTTGAGGTGAAACGTGCCATACCACAAGCGTCACCGTTGTGCACCAGACAGTTGGCCACACGTGGCGCGCACTTGAGGCATGAATGGGCGAGGCTGCAGGCAGTGACGAGGGCCAGGACTTACTTGCCTGGGACTTCTATGAGGATACGTCTGTTTGGCAAGCCTGCGGCCGCTGGTGCGGTGCCTTTACACCGGCGAGCTTCTTGACCAGCACTGGCAACCACCAGAAACGACACGTCTCTAGGATTCTCTCGGTAAACTGCTTATGCTTGCTATGTTTGTAGAACATTGTTGTTCAAGCCACTGCCCAACATTTCGCTGGCGTGTGCTGAGCGCAAGCCCTCTTTGGGGGCTTGTCGCCTGGGCAAGCATGGTTCGCAGGATAACAGACAAAGTCATTTAGCTAAACCGCGCAAATCCTGGAACAACTAGATTACAAAGGATATGGCAAATCCTTACTGATCAGCTAAAAGCCACTTGCTCTTTAAGCTTGAGAGGGCTCCGCGTCATCACCCTCCCACTTCACGAACTTGTCGTCATGCCAGAAGCCAACCTCCCATGCATGATGGTTCTTGCAGCTAGCAGCCTGTAGAGATTTTTTGTCTGAGCAACAGTCATTATCCAGATCATGTTGTATGGGAAGCATGTCCCGGAAAGGAGGAGAACTGACAAAGCGGTATCGCCACAGGCAAGCGCAGAGACAGACTGAATGAAGAGCATCCCATGCAGCTCAAGCTGTGAAGGTTGAGACCAAAAAGCACGAAACCCTGTGTTTTCCTCATGCTAGCGCAAGCTATTTCTGAGAGGCAGTCCTTCTGCTTCCCTGTGGACCTGAAAGGTTGGCCGCTCTAACAGGGTGTTGTGCGCTGTTTGGGCTGCTTGGACAAAGTCAGTGCAAAATGCAGACGCGCTGTAAACTGTAGAGATCGGATGCAACCGGAAATTGAAAAACAAATGCTTGCTCACCTGGACTTGTATGGTTTGCATATTTCCTCCGAGGCTGGGGCGTGATGAAGGTAGCCTTTCCGTGCCGCTTTCCATTCTGCCACCCACCCTCGTAAACCTCAGATGCGTAAGGGGTACTGCGAGGCTTTCCTGGCTAGCAGGATTTGCAGAGATCTGAGATACTAGGTGCTAATAGTGACCAGTATGCATGCACAAGCAGCGTTTCCATTTGGCCACGTGAACTTGCCAAAGCCATGCTTGGCATCATCCAGGTAATCTCCTGCCACAGGTCACATTTAATCATTGTCGCAGGCCACAATTAATGCTGACGCATTACTGTAACTTGTTGATGCATTGGGAGGCATTGCACACCGACCGTTCATGCTTACCTGTACAGGCTTGCCACTGCGATGTCAAGCCAGACCCAAGGACCACAGCCCGTCCTTCATAGATCATGGTGCCCTGCCAGGACGAGCCAGGTTGCATTACGAGGATGACTGTTAGAGGCCACTGGATGCTCTAAATTCGAGATTAGGATATGCCGCTTTGCTAGCTGCCAGCACGCTGGCAAGCTCAAGGAACACAAGGCAAGCGCAATGGTGCTCACAAGCCTTGTCCGTCCTCCAGACCTGAGACATGTGACAACGTGTCACACGAGCCCCGCGCTATGCCGCTGTAACCGTTCGCGATGCAGCAAGGTGGCCATCTTTCCTTTGCCCGAGAAGCGGCCGTTCCTCTGTTGCAGAAGGACTAGTCCAAGTTTCACAAATCACTTTGAAAAACCCAGAGGCATCATCCTGAACAGGAGGTTAGCAACTGCCAAGGTGCACGTACTGTCCCTCGTAGGACCGACCATCACTCCATGTGTGCTTGCCCTCTCCATTCTGTTTGTCCTCGGTTTGCTGCGGACATGCCATTACACAGCATCTGACATCACTGGCATCACGAGTCCGTCAAGCCCCCCAAGGTGAGCGGGGAAAATGCATCTAATAACCAACTTCTCTCTTTCTTTGTCAATCTGATTCCTAGCCGGAGTTCTGCTAGCCGTACTCTTCTGCTACCCCTGAAGAGCAGCTGTGGGGTGCCCGGCGGGCTCAACGCACTAGAAGCCTCCTTAACGATGCCTCCAAAAAGCCTGACCTCGTCAAGTTTTGCCGATAGCGAATGGGGCGTAATGCCTCTTCCGCGAAGCAGACTTAATGGATCTTAATGGCATACGGCCCCTGTTGACTGTGATTCCTCTGCAATGCAAGACTTCAGCGCCCGCTAGGCCGCTAGGCGCCAAACATCCTTCCAATGGCCCTCATACCTCAGAACCAGGGCAGCGCTCTTGCGCATTGTAAGCGCACATTTCCCTCTTGGTAAGCGCCTGCATGCGCCTGCATAGGTGAAGAAGCTCTTGACTCAGCCCCTCACGTCTCGGTTGGGCTTTTGTAGGTTCCTCAGCAGATGGCTAGTCAGTGCTGCTACCGCTTTGCCGTCAACACGTACGACGTGTAGTTTATCGGCCGGAAATGACACTTTGCACACTGTTGGCCATCCTGCATCCAAGTGCATAGTCAAAGAATGATGCTTCTAAAAACGTGTCAGGTCCTTTCTCTTGCTGTCGCGCGCGTGCAAGAGATCATCTAAGTATCTGTCGGTGTTTGGTGACGGTCTAAATGTGGAGATCGTAATGTCAGCAAGTCCGATGTTTTACACATCGAGAGGATTCAGGAACCCGCTACAGTACTGCATGGACAGGAACAAATCCGCGCAGTGGAGGAGGCGATTCAAAGCCAAATGAACAGATTCGCAAGCCAGCCCCGCCGATTCAAGCAACAAGGATTTCTGTCTGCACAAGCAACATTGATTCATTACAAACGCAAGGCGGTCACACGTACAATGCGTACAAACTGCAGGCGCTTTCATTGAGATCGCTTTTGGTGTTGAATGCGGCTGTGTCGGCCATGAAACTGCATTCTTGCAGCTTGCCTCTGAGCCTGATGCTGAGGACGGAGGTTGTGGTTTCATTGGTCACATTTTGTGTTTCTTCTTCGTTGGTCGAGCTCCCCGCTCATTACTTACCATATAACGGTGGCTGCTGGTGGCTGGGTGCCTACACTGCTGTGCTGCTTTATCACGCTCATGAATGAAAAACCTTGTAAGAAGCACGGGCAATGCCCTCGCCACACCTGCTGCCAGTTCGGCATGCAAATGTCGTACATGTCATCGTTTGGTTGCATTCTCTGTGTGCTTGCCTCGCCTGGTCAGTGACTGTTGCTTGCCAGCGTCTCTGCGCCAACCAACGCCACCCTATCTAGCATTCAACTTGGAACAGTCGCGGCTTGCGCCTCTACATGGACTGGCACAAACGGTTCCGAGACCGGAGCCTACGCAGCTCAGAAAAAATGATACCAATGCAAATACAAGGCAAATACCAAGATTCATTTGCGCTATAGTCTAAACTCCTAGTATCCCCTTAATAACCCCTCTACTACTCCAACATATAATGCCGTATATGACCCCCTTTGAGGGGTTTAGACTCTACAAATGCAAAGACTGGTACTGTACAACTCGTACTTCTGGAACGAGGACTGCTACAGAGATTGACCACCCCAAAGCAATTTCGAAGGGTTTTGTGTTCAAGGTTACGTCAAGTCCAACAGCCGGGTAACGAACCAAGCATGGAAGCAAAATAGAACATGGTCAGCTGCAGGGTGCAAAAAATGTTCCGTCAAGCAACTCTCATGTATCCCCGCAAGAAGTGTGCGCAAGCTACCAGCACTATCTTATTGTTCTGTGATTGTGCCCGTCTTGGCGACAGGAGGCTGATGGATCTACCTGAGGTAACGAATCTTGTAGCTGGTGTTTTTTGTGTTCGTTCGGTGTTCCTGCAGCGTTCGTGTCGCGCGTGTGGCTTCGTTGCTGCTATTTAGGCTGGTTGCTTGCATGGTGGCTGTGCAACACTCCGTTCAAGAGGGGCGTACTGTTACTGTTTGTTGATCCTTTCAAGCAGGCTGGGCCACAGGTGGAAGAGTCTGATATGCTTGCAGTCGTCAGTACCCACAAAATCCTCACGTCGATCCTCAGTAAGTTCTTCTGTCAGCTGTTCAAAATGATATAGAAACGTCGCTGCTGCACAACATATTTTGCGCAAGCGCAAGGTACAGTCACCACAACCGGACTGTCAACCGACTTTCTGGTAAAGTTCGGCGCGGTCGTGGAGTTGTTGCAAAAGGTCTTCAGCCAGAACAGAATTGAGCAAAACAATCTGGCATCAAGCGTGATGTTGCCGCGTTCCTGCACATGATGCATCCATGTTTGATTGCTGCTTCCTCTGCTTTGCCTGCTGGTGATTTGCGATTGCACGGGTTTGGCTGTAGGTTGCTGTGAGTTTTTTGGTGCTCGTGTAGTATTGATGACATTCGGCGACGCACGATCTCTGCTACGTAGCCTCGCAGCGGAGAATCTGCATCTGATGAGCCAAGTGCAGCCGGGGAGCCGAAACCTTCCCGCTTTCCGTCCACAACCCCTCCTGTCCATACAGCGAGGCAACAGTTTGAGCTAGGTACGTGCAGGTGCCCAGTGCTTGCATCGCAGCCAGCGCAGCCAGCCTGTGTAAGTGGCATCATCTTTGAAGTTCAAGGTTGCCTCGCATACTTCGCAACGGAACAACTTATCGGGTAGCACACGTTGCTACAATCTGGCATGACCAGATCTCTCCTCAGACAAAGGGCGGCAACATGCCTCATGCGGCGCTGCACTGGGAAAGTTGTTTGATGGCATGCTGATGATCTCACTTGCTCTCTTCTTTCTTCTGTCCTTCCTTCTCTTGGTGTCTTCTGGTGCCACAGCAAGTTCCGGAGGTGATGAGGCAACTGGTGAAGCGGGTAGTGCAGCGAGAGCGCCTGTTCACTGTCCTTCACCTGCACAGGTCGCTGGATGTTAAATACTGATGCTGCGTGAATGCTGCGATCCCTCCTCAAATTGCAAGACCCCACTCCCACTCGCATTTTCCAGAAAACGCAGGAAATTCTGTACAAATGTGGGTGGCTCAGCGTCAAATCTGCTTCACACAGCTGAGCAAGGCGACAGACAGCGGCTCTGATGAGTCGCTGGACCCAATCTTGTCTCGGTTCAGAGAAGATAAAATCAGAAAGTGCGCTTCTCAGCTGTCAGCAGTCCGCGACATCCTCTGCAGAGCCTGTACCGCAATCCTTGGTGCTCACTCTCAGGCGCTTGGCTTGTTTGGAAGACTTCAACGGCGTGTTGCGCACACCCTAGTGCGACTTTCAGGTTTTGACTGCAGCTTAAGCAAGGAGATCTATCTATACGCGCTCAACACAACCAGCAGCTTGCGCCTGCCCGAAGCAGTAAGAGCTGTTAGACGCAACTGTTGAGCCCAGGAAGAAACGCGAAGGCGTTACCAGTAGCAGCAAGCTGTTGACAGCGGCCAGGGCATGCAGCGTGTGCCAAAGTATGGTCTGCCTTTTTGGATTAGAAGCTCCATCTTTGAGGCCATCTTTGAGGCCCCTTGACATGCGAATGCTCTGGTTAGTTAGACCCCACATGGACCGGAGCTACTCTAACAGAGCACATGAGGATCCAGCTAGATGTCTCATAAAGCCTATAAGGTCTGCACCTCTGGTAGAGCTTGAAAGGATGCAGATCCAAATTGACACTTACAAGGTTTGCCAGAGGCCTAGACCGCTCGTTGCTAGGTTGGGCAGGCTTTATAACAGGAGATGGATGTAACCCAGGCTTCAGCTGTCGGAACTTGTCCATGTGCTTCAGGCCCCCATCGCCTTCCCTTCCCAAAGCCTTGCAAGCTCTCAACCATCCACATGACGTATTATCTCGGTGCTTACTGTTAACATGACCTTGGTTGGGGGTACTCTCTTTGATTTTGGGTCACAAGAACTTAAAGTGCCACGCGCCATGCGCGCAAAGTGCCATTCCCGCATATTGACTACACCTCAATGTGTTGGCAAGCGGCAGATGATGTCTGCTGTGAGAAAGCAGCTGAGAGCCCGTGCTCGTTCCTCAGTGACAAGTAGCATGTCCATTTCGAATCAATGCAAAGCCATACCTCAAACGTAAGTAGCGCGCTGTGGTGGCTTGTTGAATCGACCTCGGCGTTGGCTCCAGCCCAGCTGGAGCACAACGGCACAGTTTGTAGCTTGTAGCTTGAACTACTTGCGACAGAATCACTGAAGCATTTCCATCCACTCTCCGCAAAGGACTTCACGTAGTCACCGCCTTGTCTCTCACGAAGCGCATTGTGAAGCCAACCTGCAGCTGTTCACTAGATTTGACTCATTCATGTTCGTGATTTTACACACGGTGCCTGACGCTCTGCTGCTTGTTTGTCTTTTTTTGGTTTGTAGATGTTCTACAGCTTGACAGTTGAAGGATGCATTGAGGTGCACAGGACCCCAATGACATCCAGTCAATCAGTCAATGCTTTGAGAGTTGCTGGAAGGCATGCAAAGAAGACATGCAGTTCCCACATCTGCTCTCTGCAAGTGTCTTGTGCTACCAAGGATAAAACAAGGCCGTCAGATGAGGCTGCAAGGCCGTCAGATGAGGCTGCGACCAACCATGGTAAAGCAACCATTGCCTGTGGAGTGCACGTTCTGCATGCCAACCTCGCATCCACCAAGCTGCCATTGGCTGAGCTACGCGTTTCTTTCTGCCGTATCACAAGATCGAACGTTGCTAGGAAAGTTCTTGGCAGCGCCAGGGAAGTTCCTCACCGCATTTGTCCAATACATTGTTATCAAAAATATTGGAAAGTTCCCCAGATGAAGGACAAGCCACGAACGCTCCAGACGGCTGCAGCTGCTCCAGGAGCATTGCGTCACGTCGTTCGGCTTCGCGTGAAGAGCTCAAAGACTCTCCAGCAAATTCCAGAATCCGTTGAACTTCCGCTGATCTGATGCTCTTGCACTGGAAGGTCTTTTGCAGCATATATCCTTTTGCAAGAGCGCATCGCGCTGGGACCAGGCTCTTGCCCGCGGGGTTCAGAATGAAGAGTGCAACGAAGTCACGCGAGGCCTTCGAATCATGCAGGATTAGGATATCAATGTGAAAGGCCAAACTTGTTTGACATTGTTAACACAGCTGACCTGCTACTCAGAAGCAAGAGCTGTGCGAGCAAAGCGAGAGTATGAGGGCAGGGCAGCATTATGACTCCATGTCCACTTAACAGCAATCCTACTTGCAAGCGCCTCTGCGGGCTCATTACTGACAAGACGTAGAACACGGTGAACCATCTGATAGTTGGAGAAAACCAGCATCGTCCCTGAGAGACTGGCAAGCGGGGGCGGTGGACAAAACTTCCAACAAAAAGCAACCAAGGTTCCCTGCTTGATGGGCACACGGCAATTCTGCACTGTTCGGTCTTTGCTCGCATCACCTCGAAATGCTCTGCGGATTTCGCGCCGAGTAAATCGCGAAGCGTTATTGTCGCAATCACCGAATCCAAGCACATCCAGCGGTTCGCGCCCACAGAACTCTATGTCGCCGCCATGCAGTGAAGCATCAACGTGATAGTAGTATAACACTACTGCCACCACGTCCTCGCGGTGGCCATCTACATGCCATAGTCCAAGATATTCGGTTTCATCATCTTCCCGAGCTGGAGGGAGAATTATTCCTGGGGCAACAACTTGAAAACATTGCCCGCATGAGAACCACAAGTTCTGCTAACTTAGCATTTGTCATGGATATCATGTGTGCCCACCACGTTGCGGATCTTTACGCCAAGCGGCGTTGCGCTTTCAAGACAACTTGCAACCTTGCGGAGCGTCCAGTCACAAGCATCTTTGATGCATCTAACATCTGCAATTACCTGCTAAAGCAACATGCCATCGGTGCCTCCGTCCCTCCAACAGAAGCTGTGGTCGCCGGAGCTTGGCCAACAGTGGCATTGCTGCACTGAGGAGAGGTGTGGCGACCTGCCAATGTCATGCGGAATTGACATATCCTGGCACGGCGTCGGAGCATGCCTTGATCAAAATCATGGCAAGCCACTGGGAGCATGTTGGGTTGGGATCCCCTGGCAGATCACCCAGGCCCACGCCTTGCATGCATGCTTGTGATACTTTGTAATGCTGGTCTAGCAGGCTGCCATGCTAAATGGTGTGTTTGCAGCTAATGGCCCTTCGCCCTTGACTACTAAATTCGGTACAAACTTTGCGACTGCACTAGAGGGGTCAGAGACAGGCCTGCTCAGCTAGATGAGGATGTCGATGGCTCCGAGCTCCGCCAACGAGTTGAACGGACCCGTCCTCGCCAATGTCAAACTCGCAAGGGACCCAGCAAGGTCCAGCTGCCCCTTCGCATACAAACCTTGGCAAACTGCATCTTAATGCCCAGGCCACAATTGCAGTGATGATATCATAATAGCCTTTTTTGGCAGGACGCTGCTCAGGCCTTGACCGATTCGGGTCCACAATCATCTGGTATCGCGGAATTGGCCTGCTTGGAAAACCCTATAACAAGTCGCACCAGCACAATCCGACCATGATTGCGCACCTGTCTGCCGTCAGCTCGGCATGCTTGTCCAAGAGTGGCTTGATAGTCGGGAGGTGGAGCAGTGTGCTCCAAACGTCACACCGTGAGCCTTGGCCCGCAACATGCAACTTGCAATTTCACTACCCGGCATTGCACCGGCATTTTGCAGAAATGTCTAGAAGCATGCAGATCTGCTTTTTGCATTTTGGCTGGGAAGCCGCTTTACTATTTACCAATCCGAAACCAGAATCCCAGCAAGGTCTTCTGTCAGATTCTGGCAAATAGCAGCCTTTCCTCTCCATTCATCAGGACATAAAGGGTGTTGGTATGTCTGCTGCCCAACCTGTTCCGCGAGCAACTTGGGTGCGCGGTGCAGCATTCTCAAGCCAACTCCAGAACTAGCCAGTCAATATCCTTGACTACGTAATTCACAAAATTCATCTCCGGAGGGCACAAATTTCACCTTCGTTGGCTGCTGCGCTTTTTGGGTTGTCCCCTGTTGTTTTTCCTGGTGCTAGTAAGCTGTCAAGCATGATAAAGAGGATGCGTCTGCTCATGCTGCCACGCCCACACAACATAGCAAGCTTCGGCGTGAGTGTTCAGGTGCACACAGCAAGCTGCGAACAGTTATCTCTCACTGAACATCTGACAGGCTGGGTCCAAAAGGAAGCTTGCCCGGACCCCTTACATTACTTTTCAGAGCCAGCATCACTTGCCCGCAGATCTGCCCTGAACTCCTATACCTCAGTCTGTTGCGGTGGTTAGAAGCGCGCAGTGTTTGTCATCCAAAGGTCCAAATGCTTTCAAGTCCAATGGTCACCCGTACTTTGGCCTCGCATGAACATAAACTGTTTTTGGGTACTTCGATTTTGGCAGCCTGGCACTGTTACCAGGCCGGCCACCTGGTTTTCTTCTTTCATTTAAGAAGTAACCAAAAACAAGCAAAAAGACGCAAAAAGATAGGTAAGCAGCCATGCGACAGGCAGTCACACAAATATATCATCAAATAGGGAGATACGCAGACATATCAGATCGATTGACCAGATAAATGGCCCGACCAGACAACCAAATAAGCCAATACGTTGTTAAATTCAGAGTTAGAATGAGACAAGCAGATAGGGTCAGAGGGTTAGAACCGTATAAATCTTACTGAGCAGAATCAGATAGACAGATAAAATTGAATAAAGAGGCAGAATCAAAAAGACAGAGGCTAAAATAGAGCATCACACAGATCCAGAGACAGAGAGAAACAGAGAGACAGAGAGAGAGCGCCAGAGGAACAGAGAGACGGACAGACGGACGGAATTAGAGAGAGACGGATAGCAAGCAACGTGTGCTTGGACCGCTAGCTGTAGTTATGAGTTAGGAACATGTACTCCTGCACCGGCCACTTCTGGACTCACGTGCTTCTCAAGAACCCCAGCGCTTTGTCGCCGGTGGCAACTTCCACGCAGGAGCCTGCGGAAATAAGCCGACTGCGTCCAGTAGATCATGATCTGGGCGTTCTGGTCGACAGTACATAAAGACCTCCAGTTTACATTCATGTCAACCAGCATCGAATTTGCACCGATCCCTGGCCTGTTTTTCCCTTTTCTCGTAAGCGGTACGTGGCTGCGGGCTGACTTTTAGGCTTGCCCGCCCCTTCGATGAACATCTAGCTAGCAGTGAAGCCATTCCAAGTTTGCGACGGATGACTTATCGCTAAAGACGAAAGAAGAGTTGCCATTACAGCTGTTATGATGGCGACTCGGGCTTGGCCCACTTTGCCTCCAGCATTCTCCCAGCGTGAATCGAACCAAGAAACTACGAAGTTGGTCTGCATTCATTGTGCAAAAACCATTCATCGCAAGCTCTGACTTACGTCCTCGTTGCTTCACAGTGTCCATGTGGTTCCCCGCCTCCAGCTTGGTGTACACCAGCCAAACGTCCACTGGCCGCCCCGTCACCAACTCCTTACGTCATCTACTGGGCATTTGCATAGTGCGAAGTTTGATACCCCAGTTTTTTGTCCAGAAGGCCCCGAATACCTCGCACACTCCAGCTTGCACGCTCCAGCTTTGGGGCACACGTCAAATAATGCTCAAAAAGACTCTAGAGCAAAGACTTTCTGGTGCTAGAGGGGCACTGCGCCCACCGTGCGCAGGAAAAATGCGCGGGCAAGGAGAACATGTCGTCTCTGAAGCAAACAACCCCTAGTAACTCTGGCTTTTCCATGTCCCGATTGAGACATTCTCTATGGTTTGGGGACCTACATGTAAGGCAAAACGAAAAACAACCAACGACTACGCAGCCCAGCCACCCTAAACAAGAAGTCAAGCTGGCAAACGCCTGTTTTCATGCGGTGTGGGGATAAAGCAAACATGGGCGGCATAACATATGCCAATCCCAGAAAGCAATGGCAACAGCAAGTACAAGACAAGCATGTCCTGTGAACATGCCAGGGGAAACCCAGCATGGGCGCACTAATGACTCCCTGCGCCGTAGGGTGGAAGAGGGCGGGGCGCAACAAAAACAGCTGGGTCAGAATAAAAATGCCCAGAAGCATGAGCACAAGCAACATAAACAAGCACCCAGCTGCACAAAACGGAAAAGTGAGTACACAAGTGCACAACCGTCACACAAGTGCAAGAAGCATGCCGAACACTCCAGTCCCACTACGGTGCACCGTGGGCGCACTACACGATTACAAGTTACAAGTACACGTGTCTCTTTGGCATCTGCGCAGGCCCCTGACAGTTGGTGGACTTTCGATCACCCGAGAGGATGTTCTGGGTTCATGGTGCTCCTTTAACAACACAATTAGAATGCACCGCGTCTGCTTATGGCTGTTTAGCGAAGGCACCCGCTGTTCCTGCACAGCTTGCAGAATGGTACTTCCTTCAGTAAAAAGCTTGCTGCCGTCCAGTTCTACGATGGCCTCCCCGAGAACCGCTTCAGTGTCCGTTGCAGCGTAGCCACCTCCACATGCACGTCTGCGCATGTGAGCTTGCAAGCAACAGACATGCACAGCTAGACTCTGGATGTGCAGGCCCAGCCACGACGCGGACGCGCCCGCCGGCAAATGAAGACAGGCTCGATATCCACAGCCACCCTGGTAACTGGTCTGGGAAGCTGAACTTTCCCCAACTTGAAATGGAAAGCGGAAGGCAATGTTCCCATGTAACTGCCTGAGCGTCAAATCGTGGAAAGCCACTAGATGCCTCAGGGCATGTGGCTTTGAATGGTCAAGCAGGAAAGCACATTCCGAGCACTCATTTCCCCTGCTGGCAGAAATTCTGAGGCCGCAGTCACGTGCATGACTATGTGTAGCGAATTGCAACAATGCAAAAAGGAATAATAGTGAGTCGCCTTGCATCACCTAGCTCTGCTGCAAGTGCATTCTGCGGCATGAAATGTCGGCACATGCAGCCCATGCAGGATGACCTCGTATCACCTGGGCTGCCGCCCTTAGATGGCATCACTCCAATGAACATCCGAGTTACTCTGATGGTGGCGTAGGCTGTCCCTCCTTGAAAATACTCACGGCATGGATGTCTTCCCCCAAGACCTCCGCCACCTTCTCGCAGATGATCTGTGCATTGATTCCTTGCTCAGCCATTGGTTCCAAGGCGATTCTGAAGACCGTATTCCCGGCCAGGCTGATGCCCGTCAGCAATGGCTTTTCGTAACCTTGGCTTTCATCCGATGATGTTCCATATCCCACCGCCTGAAGGCTCTTACCTGTTGCAAGTAACATGCCGGGCAGCAGAGCAACATGGTCTGGAAGTGTTCTGGGCGTTTCGGTAATGCGTACGCATGATTTAGACGGGGAGGCCTCCACCAAGCATTTGAGTCCTCAGACTGATCATCATCTTCATCATCGCTGTTGCCCTGGGACCCTGGCAGAGAAACCACACCACTGCAGAAGTGTTGCAAGTTACCCTTCCTTTCATCAACATGCGAGCCTGCGCCCTTGCACAAGTCGTCAACCAAAGAATCCCCGTCATGCCAGCGCAGAGGGGACATCTTGGTTTCCACAGCGTCTGCATATGAGAGGGCGGCCATGGCCAATGCATCAAGTGACCTTTCCTTTGAGACGCAGCCATGCAAATCATGCATAGTAATAATCATGCGCGATAGAAATGTCCAGCACAAAACGGAACCAGGTTGTTGAATCAAACCTCGTACATCCAGGCCACCTAGCTGACTCTATTTGCACCGACGTGTGATACAAGAGAAACCTATGCCTGAAATTTCATTTTGAGAGGCACTTCGGGGCATTCTGACCCGATTCGCTGACAAGGTAACCCCATTGGATTAACATTTGTGTGTGTAGCAGAGAACTTCTTTTCGTAACTTGATGCTGCTCCCAAACACGTAATTCGGCCAAAACTACGCGCAGGTCAATCTACAGTCCTGGAATACGTGGCATGAGCATAATTCACAGCTGTGCAATCTAATGACGTACAGGTGGCATTTCGCTGCTCAACCCCGCCTTGCTTGTAGATTCTGCTGTTGCCGGCGCTATCTTCCTCGACGTTTGATCATGTGCGCGAATGGAATGCACAGTAAAATTCAGCAAGAATTGCGGATGAGCCCCCGACGTTTCAGCTACCTCTTCTGTTCCAGCTAGTCCGCTCCCTTCCATGGGTTGGATGGAAACATCTTTGCCTGCAAGCATGTGAAACATTGACGCCCAACATGTTTTCAACTGCACGAACCTTCATAACATCACGCCTGCTTCGTCCTTGTCACCACAGCACGCCACACATTTTGATTGGTCCGCGCCCATGATGCCTGAAGAACACTCCTGTTGAGCTGTTAAACTTGGACACCATAACCAAACTTCACGAAAGAAATGCAGTCAAGATGCGTATATGTGAAGACCACCACGCAGGTCCGGGACAACGCTTGAGCTGCAATCCAACAACATGTTTGCACATCCTCCCTGGTCCAAAACTTTTAGTAGCGCAAACACAAATGCAAGCCCACAATGGCCGCACAGCTGGTGAATTTAGTGCAGCTCTCTCTCTCTCCTTCTTCTTTTTCTTCTTCGGGCTATGTCGGTCTCTACAGACCGACCGGCGCACAGCGCCGAGCCCAAGCAGGTTCAGTCGCTCTCTCTCTCTCTCTCTCTTTCTCTCTATGGGGTCGCTGCTAATTACCAATTCGTAGAATGCTGGCGTTTTTCCCCCCTGTGACCGAATGAAAGGCAAGGAGGGCAATCAATGTATGACCAGAGGGCTCGGTTGCCTGAGTTCATGATTTTCTAATTTTTTTTGTTGCACCTTCCTTCTGTGAAACAAGTCGGTTCACAACCGCTCCGCGAACATCTCGCCCAGGAGACGTCAGCAACGTCGCTGGCATTGGCTGGTTGGGCCGGCAGATCAAGCAGTGTTTGCGCAGGCGCCCGCCTGCATGGCCTCCAGCGCCGTCCACCGCCGGAGCGCTGAAGCCGACAGGCATGCAGCGCGTTGGGCTTCTTGGTGTGGCACTCTGCCTGTCATCGTCCAAGCACGCGCCCCTGTTGCAAGGCGCATCCCTCTGCCGTCGGCAGCTGTGGCAACCTATGCAGGACACTGCCTTTTAGCGCCAAGGATATGATGCTGGTGCGTGGTTATCGCCCTCCCTAACGCCGCGCCGCTGGCTCAAACCTTCGGCGATGAGAACGTGCAACCCAGACTTGCGATGAGCGCGCGTGCGAAACGCATCTTGTTGTCCTGCGTCTCGCGCGCTGCTGCTCTCGCAAGCTGAACCCCACTCCGCCCGAGCATTCACAGTTGCACCTACCCACGACGGCGTCGCCATCCCAAGTGCACAATTCCGCGTGCTGCTCCCCGGACGACTGCGGATGCCGCTTCCGTTGGCGCCATGCCTCTGCGGCTGCCACGGGCGGTTAAACGCGCTCGAAAACCACCGCTCTGCGTGGTGTGATCGCGTCCCGCGCGCTGCCACTGGAGCGGGCCGTGCCGAAAAGCTGGTGCCCGCGTTGCCCGAAACGTGCGAGTCGTCGCGGCGACATGAACATCGTTGTGTTCCTCAGACGGGCAACGGATCGAAGTAGTCTCCAACAGCCTACCGTCCTGGCCTGGCCCCCAACTTGATGCAGGCGGAAAAATTGTCCGAAAAAAAAATGCAACATGATGCAACCAAGTGGAAAGCTATGAAAACGAAAGCATTGTGAAAAAAAACACGAAACATGATGAAGATGTTTCTTGTTTATGGTTGCCCCAAATCTTTCAGTCCGGGCGAACCTACATGGCCACTCGCAATCGACTCTCCGCTGGCGCCCCCCCCCGCCCCGCCAGGAGGTCACCCATGAAAAATGATGAAGAAGTGGCACTATGAAACAATAGTGGTTCTGAAACGACTGTCGTGCGGCCAGTGGCTATGAATGAGTGAAGCACACTCGTGGGCATAGACGTCAGTTCAGTTCACACATCAAGGATCCAGGCCGTCAAGCAATGATCTGTGGGTCTGGCAGATGCCAACCACGAAGGGCGCAATCGGCAGCATTTGGAGAAGGTCCGGTGCTGAAAGGCCGGTGCTAAAAGGAACCGCATGTTCATTTCATTTGGTAATCGCAGCACCTTATTCTGGCCCAGGCACTGCAGGCGTTGCAGCCATGTCCTTCCCGAACGGATGAAACAATGGGCATGATCATAACGCATGGACGAGGCCACAATCATTAGAGCCGCACAGGCATGGGAAGCTTCTTGCCCTGTGACCGGCAGCGCGACCGTCTAAAAACGAGTTGAGGCCGCATCTTGCTAATGCCCATCCCGCACAAAAGAAATTTACAATCTGCAGCTATGTAAGGGCCGCGGGATTAAATTTGGTCTTGGATGGTTTTGGTTGTTCTCGGACTGTTCCCCGCAACTGTCTGTCCCTGGTCGGCTGAAGGTGCTAGCGACAAGAGGCGGGCGCTGCCTCAAGCGCGCAACGCAAGCGGCTTTCAGGCTCCGGGTACGTATGGCGCGCATCCGCCAAGAGGTCTGCCAGCGGCGCGTCACGTTCGTCTGCCTTGTCCAACGGAAGCTCGAGTGACAAAGCGAGCGCCCGCTGCGCTGCGACAGTCGGGCTGCAACCCGAAGCCATGGCGGTGCCGCCCGCGCTTTGGAAGCGGCCAGACGGCGGACTTTGTGATTTTTCTCAACAGTCACAGCGATTGCGCAGGTCGCGGTTTTAAAACTGGCAACAGTCACAAAGATCATGGGAGGTCGGGGTCACGATCCTCGTGACTGTCTCGCTTTTGAACCCTTGACCTTTGGGAATTTCGAATGTGTGAAAACAGTATGAAAACATGAAAATGATGGAACATTTTGAAGATCATGTTGAAATTTCACGCAAATCGGTGCAAGATGATGAATCAATCATGAAGATGATGAAGGAATATGAAGTCATTAACATGCATGAAAACGCATTAAAGAAGATGAAAATAATGGAAAATGATAATACATTATGAACCAATCAGGAAAAGGATGAAAGGTCATGAACAATGATGAAAACCGTAAGACGTTGTGAAACGTCATGAAATCATAAGAAATGAAGATCTTTTGAAATGATGAATTATGAAACTGATAGAACCGATGAAAAGTCATGAACCGATCCTGTGGAAACTAGGAAAATTGAGGAACTGCATAACCTGCCCTGACTGATGACATGATGCTTTTATGTTAAAACAAGCTTGGATGGCAAACAGGGTGCGGGGTTGGGACCATGGGGGGTATTGAGACAACGAAAACAACGGTAACCATGGATGTCATTAACAAAAGCGGGGGGGAGGGGTTGGAGGGGGGCGAACACAACGCTGGCAACAGTTCGCCTTCGCGATAGTGGGTGTTAAGGCGTGTTGCTGCCAGCCTCGTGTCCGCTTCCAGGGTCTGCTTCGGTGTGTGAGGGGCTGACGCCAGTGCAAGTTTCCCTCCAGCTGGGGCAATCCCGGCACCCCTGTGTGCAGGAGCTGCCGCGCATCCGTTGCCTTCCATAATTTTCATCATTTTTCTATTTATCATTTTCATCATTTTCAACATCTTTCATATGTTTGTATATATAACCTTCCTAACGCTTTCAAGCTCGCACTGTCGTGTGAGGCATTTTTCGACTGCTGCCATCCCCAGCCCGGGATGCGTATCAAACAAAAAACCTCTTCCCCGATAGGAAAAAAAACGAGCTTTAGACAGAAAAGGTGGGAGCGTGGCGAAAGGAAGGAGGGCAGCCCAAAAAAATATTCCGGGCCCTCACAAATAGACAAAAAGCAGGAGGGAAGGAAGGAAAGAGGACACACGGACGGAGAGAAGGAAGGAAGGACGCAGGGATTTTTACTGGCAAGAAAGAGTGATGCAGCCTGTCCGTGGTCAGGCGTCTTGAGGTCGCGTGGCAGCCCGCTTGAGCGAGCAGCCGCTTGCGTCTGCCAGGAGGCTGGGGCTGCCGTTGCGCGCAAGGTCTTGGTCGGAAACCTCAACCCTGCCACACAAGGAGCCCCACGGCGCGCTGCTGGACGTACTGCAGGGGCTGCCTTGCAACAAGCCCGCCGGGCCAAGGAGAGGATGTATCCTGAGCTTTCCGGGGCTGCCCGTGCTCGACCAGTAGTCCTTGCCCTCGAAATTGGCGGCCGTCGGAATTCTGAAGCCGCCAGCTTCATCATGCTTCATCCACCACCCCGCCAGGGCCCGTGCCGGGAACGGCCCAGCCTCATCACGCGCAACCAGCATCTCCGCGTACACGTAACGATGGTCTGCGCTCTTGTCATTTGCCGCTGCGCGATCTTTCGCTGCCAGCCTCCTGTCCCTCCTTCTCGCTGGCACCGCAAACGTTGAAGGCGATTCGCCCTTCCTCAGCGACATGCTTGCAGACTCCACTGTTTCTCCGCCATTTGCCAGCCGCATGCCCTAGCCGC